CTGCATTAAACAACTAAATGCCACTTCAGAAGCGCTTCTGTGCCACCTTTGCAGTGTAAATGTGGCATATGATTACATTTACATTGCATCAATGCATCTGGCAGATGCTTTTATCCAAAGTGACTTAGTTTGCATTTTTAAGATGTACATTTCATATTTTATTTATTCTACCGTTTTAAATAGCAGGAAAATTCTTCAAAAATTCCCTATGTATAGAGATTCCTTTGAAGACTTCATTAAAGCATTATAAGCCAACCATCCAAGGTGAATCACATTACAACCTTTTATTTAAAGAAAAAGTATTTGAAAATACAGACAAAAAGATTTGAAGACTTAAATGAGGGAAAGTACTACAATCCCATAAAGCACTGCGAATGACGGTCAAATTAAAAACGATGGAGAAATATAAAACTATTAAGTATTAACTATTAAGCATTTATTTTAATTTTTTTATAAAATATTAACTAACAATCTGCACGATCAGCAAACACAGTATATCTGGGACTCTGTCTGCATAGTTTGCAGTCTTTTATGCGTTATTGTCAGGGGTAAAGAACTACGAAGCTAACCAGTGTTTTGTAGCAGGAAATAACAGCAAGGCAGACTTTTTCAAAGCCAACAGATTTCAAAAGAGTGATCAAAGAAGCTATTGAAAATATAATGTGGGTAAACCTGTCAGCCTGTTAGGCTGTTTTTCGCTCTGATTGAGAGTTGTTAATACTAGCATTTTTTTTAAAATCAGTAAAAATGCTGCTGGAAACAGTAGCAGTTGTTGTGATGCCCTTGGAGGCATCCGACTCTGTCAACATCCTAAGAAAAATTGCTGAAAGTCCTTGCGTGTGTGTCACAAGTCCAGAACGACTTAATAAGGTCTCTAATTTGACCCCCATCACCTCAAGCAATATAATTGCATCCCACAGAAATCCCAAGATCAAAGGTTCTTTTAAAGCTTTTGACACCCTATTTAGTTCACAAATGAGAGTCGCACAACGGATAAATGGAAAACACCCAAGCATCCCTTCAACCGATGTGGAATCAGTCATGATAGCAGCTTCGGATTCCTGCTTTTTGGTTTCAGACACCAAACCGTGCCCTACCTGCTGTTCTCTGTATTGTAGTTAATGCGTTGTCCTCAATCCCAGCATGCTTGGGAAGCAGCATCTTCTATTACAACGGCACAGTGCAACATAAAAGTGGCATTCCTTTTGACATTATTCATTATTAACGGCACTTGGTGGACTGCGGAGCACAAAACACGTCTTTTATTGTGTGCGTGGGTGTACATCTTTCATGTTTTATCACGAAGACACCCTTAATGTCAGACTTCTCGCCGTAATTACTTCTCGCAGGTTATCAGCACAAGCGGGTCAGGTCTCCAGTGGACTTGGCAGGCTATGGCAACACAAGTCTGGACGAGCGGCGGTGGAAATCTAGGGCAAGTTGGAGCTTGATGTTGTGATTGGCATCGCCTGGTTCAAAAGAAGGACTCGGGGAGCTATATATAGATCAATTATTGTTGCACAAAGACGTCCTTCTGGAGTGTTTGCAGATAAGATGTTTACAGACTACGCTAAAGAAGGGAGGAGGGGGACAGGGCTGTGTGCCATTCAGAGCTGAATCGAGAAAGCCTTTTAAATGTATAAATGGAATTGGAACAGAGGTAGCAAACAAGATTTGAATTTGAATCTGCATACTGTATATTTTCTGCTGTAAGTGTATAAATGAAAAAAGGTTAAGTTTTGATATGAATTCATCTTAAACATTTTATCAGACGCTGCTATTTCTAGAAATATTTAATGATAATAATTTTCAGTGTTTAAACCTAGTATATACATGTTCGAAATTTAAATTGTATTCATTTTTTTATTATATAATCACACACACTCTCACACACATATAATTTATAAAGTTACATGAAAACAATGTAACAATGTGGTAGACATTTTGTATAGTGTTAACTAAATTAAACTAAATTAATTTCATCCAATTAAGGCAATACTGAATTGGAAAATATCTAATCAATTCTAATGTATTCTATGTTTAGAAGGCATAATTAAAAATGTGTCCAAATTAATTAACCTTAAACATTTTATCATAGGCACAACATTTGTGCTATTTTTATAATTAGAATTTTACATTTTTTTTTATAAAAAATAATCATTAATATAATTCTATTTTTTCATTATATACAGTATATTACTTAAAGGGTTAGTTCACCCAAAAATGAAAATTAGCCCATAAATGACTCACCCTCAAGGCATCCTAGGTGTATATGACTTTCTTCTTTCAGACGAATCCAGTCGGAGTTATATTAAAAATTGTCTTTGATCTTTCAAGCTGTTTAATGGCAGTCAGCGGGTGTTGCAGTGCATCAGTCCAAAAGAAGTGAAATAAAAAGCGCTCACACGGCTCGGGGGGGTGAACAAAGGCCTCCTGTAGCGAATTGATGCGTTTTTGTAAGAATAATATCCATATTCAAAACGTAATAATCAATTTAATCTAGCTTGTGTTCACTGTTGTACACGGAAGCAGCTCCGGGCGGATGACGTATGAGGTCGGCGTTGCGCATGCGCCGCTCAGAAGTGACGCACGCAGAAGCGCA